AGCGCAGCTGCCCCCGGCCCCGAGCAGCCGAGGCCGCGGCACCCCCAGCTTCGAGTCCTCAGAAACGCGCACGCGCCAGCTCAATGACAGCAGAGAAGCGGGAAGATTGCTGGACGGTTTTAATGACGTGACAGGAGCCCTGCCTGGAGCTAAGTGACGCAACATGCACAAGCAACACGGTCTTTTAAAAAATACAAAATAAATAAGCAGGATGTCAAAATAGGCAAGTTTCCATTAAATAAACAAGTTTTTAAAAAAAGAAAGTTGACTTTCCATATCATTTGAAGAAGGGAAATTTCCATTTTAAACAATATTCAAGTTTATTAAACAAATTTAAAAAGTATTTAAAAAATGTTTAACTTTCATCCGCTTCAAGGTTTATGTTGCTCCCAAACTTTGCATATAACTGAACTTTCAAATCTGCTAACACCCGCTGAATGGACTCCACTCTGGATTCTAAAGCGTCGATTTCTTCTTGCAAGTTTTTCTGGAAAGAAGAAAGTTTAAATTAATTCTATTCAATGGGATGATTTCTGAACATCTGTGGCCGAAACAACACTGGGGGAGAATTTTAGGTCAAGCAGCTTCTAAACTTGGACAGGGAGCAAAACGGCACTAGTAAAGGTACGTAAGCCAAAGGGAGGGTGCGAGCACCCTGACCCATGGTCGGATGTGCCTATCACCGGTGCGTCAGGGTGACTTTCCCTACTTTTACTGGCTTAGAGAAACACCCTGTACAAAGGACCTCTTTTAGACAATACCCCTATGAAAAAGAGCCCCACGACACATCCGGGGAGACGCCCGACCTCCCAACAGTGCTCTGGGGCCAGAAGCTGAGCCCCCGCGAAAGAAACGCGACCCGTGGTCGGGGCCTTCCCCCGCCGAGGCCCTGAGCCGCGGCGCAGCCACCGCAGGCAGACACACGCCCCTGGCTAGCAGCGGCCCCCCGCGCCCCGGCACAGAAAGACGCCGCGGCGGCTCCCGCCAGGGCCCCACAGACGCCGAGACGCTGCTCTCCGGCAACCCGCCGGCCCGGGCCTTGCGGAAACTCGGGGCTCCACGCGGCCTGAATCTGCGCGGGGGCGGGCGACCGCCCTGGGGTGACGCGGCTCCGTCTGAGAAGGCGGGAAGACCTGCCAAGCGGAGCCCCACGAGACAAGACGCCCGCACGGAAAGTCACACGCGAGAGAACTCCTTCAGGGCCACGACGCTCCATCGCGGGCACGGCGTCCTCGACCCGCAGGACCCCCGCGGCCCTCGCACGGGGCCGGCCACAGCTCGGCCACGCCGAGCAGCCGCTTGGTCCAGTCTCGCTCCCGCGGCGTCCCGGCAGACAGGGCCTGAGCCGCACGCGAAGCCCCTCGCGAAGCCCCACCCTACCCGCGCCGGACCCCTGCCGACCAAAGGCCGCGACCAGCCCCACTGACAGCTCCTCGGGTGGAGCCGCCCCGGAGCCCCAGTAAATCAACCGTCTTCTGTCCCGGCGCCCCACACTGCCGCGGTGGCTCACACGCGCTGCTCACGGGCAGCCGGTCACTGCTCCCCCAGCCCCGACCCAGGAGAGGCCAGGCCCGCTGCGACCTCAGGCCCTGGCGCCGACCTGCGCCTCTCCGGCAGGGACCCCGCTCTGCCCTGCAGCCCCGAGCCAGGCAGAGCAGAGTCTCGGGACACTTCCCCCGAGAATGAACGAAGGAACAAGTGGCAAAGTAAAGGCTCAGTGTCCCTACAGCAGCACAACAGAAAATTACCCGGAAACACTCCCAACCGTATTTCAGGATGGTATCGAAAAACCAGAATCACAAAACGGCACCACAAACTTTCACCTAACTAGAAGGGGGGACACCGTGCCTCCACATGGGAAGAGCCAAGTAAAATTTTCACTCAAAATAGCACTGAGAGCGTCAGTCGGAGGAGAGCCAGAAGCGCGAGCTGCCAGGGCTCTCGCGCAGGGGACCGGCCTCCCGAGCTGCGCACGTGTCGGCTGGACCAACGTCACACCGGCCTCAGACGCCTCCGAGCTGTCGCTGAGTCCATCCTCGGCCCCAGCAGTGACAAGTCTCGGCTTCCTTCCATGAAGGGATCTGCCAAATGTCAGCAAGGCTGAGATGCAGGAAGGCTCACTACATCACTCCAGAAAGGCCTGAGACAAATCCACGTCGGCCAGAGCGAGGCAGGGAGCTAGTCGGGTCCTCCAACAGGACACTCGTCACCAACAAAGACAGCGTCACCTCTCACTGCCTTGGGGAAATGCAGAGAGCACCACTGGGCGTAGGCCACGTGCAGGCTGGTGGCGTGCCCACGCCGCCTGCCCACGCCACCCCTCGGCGCTGTCGTCGCAGTGAGCGGGCGCCCGCCGGGCTAGCCGCTGGCCGGGCTCTGGTGTCAGGGGCCAGCCCTGACATCCCGACACGGGCGTGGTGTGTCACTGCTGCTTTCTGGTGACACAGGACACGTGTTTGTCAGCCGCGTGTCTTCAGCAAGGAGGGCTGCTGAGGCGGCTGGCCCGCACTTAACTGGGTCGCTTTCTTATGGCTGCGTCTTCCTAAGTCCTTTATGTCTATTTTATTTGGGGAAAAAATGTTAGAGGATGTTCCCAAAGCACGTGCCTGGCGCGGAGCAGGTTCCCGCACGCACTAAGCGGACCGCAAACACCGATTACCAGATGGCACCTGACGAGAGGTGAAGCAAAGCCACGGAGAGAAAGACGGGGGCACAGAGAGGACACACGGCGCCTTCACTCTGCGGGGGCTCTCGGCTACGGCCACGCCTGAGTCCCTGCTGCTGCTCCCTGCGCCCAGCGCCTGCCGCTGTGCGCTGGGGCGCGGCGCCGAGCCAGGAGACCGTCCAGCGGCGCCCTGGGGCCGGCGCCACCTCTCCCCGCGGCCAGTCTCCCGGAGAGGGTGGGTGGGACCTGCCTCCGAGTCACCGCCGTGCTTGCCGGGGACGAGTGAGAACCACGAAATGTGCCGTGGCACAGTGCCCCATACGAGTGCACGCTCCCTGCAGCGACCCGGAGCCTGACGGGGTTAGAGCTCAGCGTCCACGGGAGGACCGCCACGTACCTTTGCTTCTTCTAACATGTCCTGTGTTTCCTCTTGAGAATGACTAATGAAAACATCGCCGATTTGGTAAGGTATCATGAAGCAGTCGTCATCCGCAAGCATGATGTCCTCACAGGCATCTTCTAAATTCTGCAGTTGTTTCTAGAAAGGCAAGAGTCCCAGCCGTGAGAAACGCCCTCGGCGTCCTCCGACCCGGGCGGAGGAAAACTCCTTCTCATGTGGAGACGCCAGCAGGTGAGGGCCCCTCCCGCAGGCACAGCTGCACTCGGACAGTGGCGGCTGCTGGCGTTTCATCAAGAGGCGCCCGGGGGTCAGGCGCATGCTGCCCTGGTGCTCCCGGCCGTCAGCTCAGCCCTGGCGGACAGCGGGAAACTGGGCCCACCCGAACTGCTCCTCCTTAGCAGCTTCTCGCCCGGCCCGCGCCCTGCCCACGCAGACACCGCCAGCTGGCGTGGTGGTAGCAAAGAATGACTTAAATTCCACTGATCAAAGGCGCCTGAACTGGACCTGAGCCAGGAGGGGTGGGGGGTCCCCACTGGGCTCTGACCGGTGGGGGGCAGCGCACTGGGCCTGAGAGTCGCTTCCGCGGACAGCAGCAGTTCTGCCCCCATCACACCCTCGGAGGCGGTCTGGGACCTGCTCCCGAGGCCGGAGCCCAGGAGCGCACCCCTCGATCTGTAATTACCTCACAGCCCTAAAAACGTCTTTCTCCTTAAACTCACGAGAGTGGGTTATGTCGCTGGCAACAACAGGGCCGGTGAGAGAACAGGTACATGTCTGCATACCTTTTTTACGTCTATTTCTTCCTTTAACTCTGTGATTCTACTTGTATTCCGGGCAAATTTGTTTATCTTTTGCTGGTCTTCAAAAGTAACATTGACATCTTCTGCAGCCTGGAAAAAAAAAGAAGATTTAAACTTTGGGGAATGAACTTTAATGGAGAGGTTACAGGTTAGCTTTTTAGCTATTTCTGAAATCAACTATGTGCCCTTGTCTGGTGAAAAACCACGAGAACAGAATATCTCAAACAGGCCATATTTTTTGCTTCTTGAGATTAAGATTTTGTCATAACCCTATGGCCTCTTCTTACAGTCTACAGAATAATGCCCGAGCTAACAAAACTCAAATACACGCAATCAGCAGTAAGTCCTGAATCAAGTCAGCCAACTCCTGCCTAAAACAGATCTCTCAGGTTCAAACGCTTTTTTAGCAAATCAACCCAGGGCATGAGGAGCGACATGGTCACTAATACTGGAGTCTCGTGCCAGGCTTGCTCAGAGGTACACCTGCTCACGCCACGGAAGTCGACAGCCTCTCCCGCCCTCAGCCACCTGACACGGGCGGGAGGGTCGCTGGTCTCCCAGCCGCTGCACGTCTGAGTGAAACTGTGCCCTCAAGGCAGAGGCCGCGGCCAAGTGTTAACCGTGAGCAAGGCATGGCTGACACAGTAAGGGAAGCCAGGTTCACAAATACTTAGCGTGGCTGAATTGGCAAACAGTGCCAGGGTGCCAGAGTGCGAAGCCACCGCGGGAACCTCTAACACTTGCTGGTCTCGCGTATGCCGAGTCCGCCGCGCTTTGTCAGCTCTCCTCATCTTTCAATCGCTCTTAGTAAGCAGGCTCAGTAGTGCCACTGACTTGCAGGTGGAGAACGTGGCACAGAGGGTTTAGTAATTTGCCCAAGGCCACACAGCCAGGAGGAGGAGCTTGATTTCAACCCACTTAGAGTCTGGCTCTAGACTCTAGACAGCTCCGAAAGTTGTTAGAATTGAAATGCCAAAGTGTGTGTGGACCTGTGTGTGGAGTGGGGAGGTGCGGGGGGGTGGGGGGACATACATGAAAGGGAGACTCAGCAGGATGCAGGATGTCCTTAACTTTCCCAAGCTCCCCACGGGTGTGGACACACTAAGAAAACTAAAAGGTAAACACCAGACTCCCCTTCGAGTCCCCCCTCATTTGTAAGCAGCATGATGAGGCCTCGGCGACTGTGGCAGGAGAAAGCGGGCACTCAAGAGGGGCCCTTCGGGGCTGCGGCCAGCAGCAGCCGCCTGCCCACCACCCCGCTGTCGCCTATGTGCCCGACCATGACGCGGCTGCACACTCTTCTCCATGGCGGAGGCGCCACAGGGCGCTCCCCGGTGTCCCCGGGCCCCGGCCCCCGTAAGCCCCTGGACAGCTTCACAGGACCCAGCCACGGGACCGAGGGTAACCTGGAAACGCCCTTTAGGGGGTTAAAGAGTGTGGTTTTGGTGTATATGAAAGCTGGAGACACTGACACCCCAGGAAGCAGGGGGCAGGCAATTCCCTAAGCAAGTGGGGGCCAGAGGCTGCGTGCTGGCAGGGAGGGGCGTTAACTGCAGTGCAGAAAGTGTCCTGGTGGGTTATGAGCGCACTCTTCTGGAAGGGTCTCCAGCTCCCACTGGATCCTTAAAAGAACCGCAGGCCCGGCCCTCCCTGGTGGTGCAGCAGGTTGAAGCACAGCACTGAGAAGCTAAAGCCGCTTCC